TTTGCAATCTTGAGAAATGGGCATTGGAGTTCCTGAAATGCTCCATGTTTATGATCCATCATGAGATTGTACATCGTTTTGAAGCAAATCCAGCTGAATTTGTTTATCGATTTGTAGCCATGGATAAGCCTTGGGTTCACCACTGTCATCAAGAGACTAAAAAACAGTCAAAGCAGTGAACACACCTAATATCTACTTCAAAGAAGGCAAAGTTTGTTTCATCTGCTAGCAAGGTGATGGCTTCATATTTCTCGAATTCCAAAGAGAATCCTTCAGGTGGACCATTAATGGCCAATATTTAGCTGCTATGTTTAGACTACTGCATGAGAATATCAAGGCTAAATATTGTGGAAAAGTCATTATATCACTTATGTCTTCATGAGGGCTTGTTTGTCTTTATTCCTTCTTGATTCATCAGCGTTTTTTCTGGTCTGCCCTTTGTCTAGCCTGCCATGCCTGCGAATTTTGAATTTTTTGTTTACCATGTTGGTCTGCGCTGGTAGACTGTTTCCTGAACTGTAATTTGCTGCCATGTGGGAGATGTTATAAAGCCCGCCTGATTGAATGTTGACAATCATGTGATGATAGTGAACCTTTCTGTGCACTAGTAGAACGGTGCCTACAGAAAGAAATATTAACCCACCACCCGATTGGATCTTGGGGTCATGCTGACCTTGGCTGTGGGGCAACAAAATGTAAGCTGGGACATAGGCATGTTATGCAAGTATTTGAAAACGGATTAAACCTTAATCCAATCTAAAGGTGTATTGTTCCACGAGTAACATATACCTATGCACAAGCCTAATGTCACCATGGCTGCATGACTATGGTTTTAAACTCATTGAACATCTTGCATATTCACCAATTTTGGCTCCGTATTTTGGATGGAGGACTTTATACACTTCCAGAAGCTTTGTACACCAGTGTGATCCAGGCACCCCACCATTATTGGCAGAAGTATATGGACCTCGGAGGGGATTATGTTCACAAATTGTTAGCAACCAGCTCCATCAATGCATTCCATAATAGTTTTTCAGCCAGCTCTTGTACCATCTTCTCAGAACCACTGGATCAAATGAGATGAACTTCATGTGCTTGCTCCATTTTTCAATATGGACATGAAAATGGCCATATTGCAAAACCTATTCATGGCCATTATGACATCATTTGTGTTCAAAATGAAAATTTGATATATGTTTCTTTATTAATGTGACTATGTATTGGCCTTATTTTGACCTTTGTGTTTTTACCATTACCATAAATTATATCAAAATTCATATTGGACTCTGGAAACATCTTCTCTTCTGTAATGCAAGACTGGGGAGGATGAACTTTTTTCTATTGAAGACAACATAGCTTGTCCATATCTACAAAATTTAAGTGTTAGCTTTTAGTTCACAGGTCTAACTATTTGAATATCAACGCTAAAAGCAAACACCTCTTCTTAAGTGGACGTTTATGTTTTTAAACTATAGATCTGTTGCTAGCGATCTATAGTCTGTAGTCATATTGTGTTGTTGATTGCTAGTATATTTTTACATGCTCTCAAACTAGCTTTACATCATTCTGTGATATTCTAGTTATTATACTGTCCTTTGATGACAGCATTTTATTTAGTTATATATGCATGTTGTTATGAAAAATTTGTCTTGTCATGATATAGCTGAAATATTGCTGATGTGACATTACATTTTAACTCACTCACTCACTCACTCTAAACAATCACACATAATTAGTTTTTCCCAAGTAGCATCGTAACCAACCAAGCTATGACGTATGCAATAGCGGGAACCTCACACCTATTGTAATAGTAGTAACTATTTAGCACTAGGTAGTAAGTCAATCTAAGTTTATTCTAATAGTTTTCTATAATAACAGACAATAAGTAGATATTGATAGCTGCTTCTGGAGTGATGATCACACGCAGATGAGCATAATTGGTGCTTGGAGTTTGTGAGGTCAAAATGGAGTTTCCCTCTACTCCCGGGTGCAAGAAGTGTGGCCGTTTCATGGTCACAGGAGATCTTTATGTTAACTGCGTGAAGTGCAGTGGGAACATCTTGCACCGAGGACAAGAGATGTGAGAGGTGCGCCAACACATCTAAGAAGACCTTCATCAAGATAGCCTAGGCTTTGACAAAGGCTGAGAGGCATGAGGCAGCCATGAAGAAGGTGGAGGTCATCATATCCGAGAAATCTTCTTCCACCCCAGCTTCTCCCACGCCAGTTGATCAACCATCTCCTGCACTCTCTATGAGTCTGATTCAACAACTCTTCAAGGAACAGCAGGAGATGATGATGAAGAGTATGTTTGAGGCTAGGCTCTCATCCCTGGACAAAGAAATGGAGAATATGAAAAAAATAATTCCCCCGGTCACAAGACAGGAAGCGCCCAGTCAAATCAAGACATAGCCGACCAGCCAGCTGAGCCGCAAGGCCAGCCGGGTATAAGACAATAGGCTTTTACCTACTGTGAATTTATACCATACGGGCACCGCAAGATATCCATGGACCAGCCGTCCACGGCAACCCAGCCTACTAGACAGCCGACCGTTAAGACACCGTACGGTAGCCGCACGGACTCCATGGGCCGTTCATGTCAACTCAGCCGACTGACCTGCCGTCCAGCCAGCCAACCAGTAGGACACTGTACAGCTACAGCACAGACTCCATGCCAACCGTCCAGCCATTCAGCTTACCGTATGATCTCCATCAACCGGCAGCTCCCAAGCCAGCGGCAACCACGCCTACCAGCCAGCCGACCCTTAAGGCACCGTACGGTAGCCGCACGACTCCATGGGCCAGCCGTTCATGTCAACCCAGCCGACTGACCTGCCGTCCAGCCAGCCAACCAGTAGGACACTGTACAGCTACAGCACGGACTCCATGCCAACCGTCCAGCTATTCGGCTTACCGTATGATCTCCATCAACCGGCGGCTCCTAAGCCAGCGGCAACCCAGCCTACCAGCCAGCCGACCTTAAGCACCATATAGTCGCCGACCAATCAACCGTACAGCCAGCCAGCCAGTAGGACACTGTACAGCTACAGCACGGACTCCATGCCAACCGTCCGGCCGTTTGGCTTACCGTATGATCTCCATGCCGACCGTCCTGCCGTTTGGCTTACCGTATGATCTCCATCAACCGGCGGCTCCCAAGCCAGCGGCACTCACCACATGGTATAAGCTCGCTAGCTTTTCCCTACCATGATACAGGTTAAGCCAAATCTTCGCTAGGGTCCCAGCAGGGTACCGTAAGGCCATCCTCCCCAGCTAAGACCCTGTTAGGACTCCACGACAACCCAGCCGACCGTCCACCCTTGATTATTCTGTCTGTTAGGTGTAGGATTGATTATGGATTAGAAGCACATAGAGTATCAACTGCCACCTGGTGGATCATAGTTGACAATGTAACTGGAAGTGACGTCCGCTGAGGAAATAGCAGTACAAGGTCCTTCTAATCAGGAAATGACGTTTTTGGTAGGACCTTGACCTTGAGAGACGTCATTACCTAGTAAGTGGAAAGTGACAAACCGGAAGTGACGTCAGCACTGGTATTAGTGTAAAAAATCCAAATTTATCCAGAAATGAGCAGAAATAGATTAGAAATGACATCAGTATTACGAACAAGATCAGCAAATATAACGGTAATTCTAGTGAAGGTATCACATATTTGACTGATTCTTGATACATTTCTGATTTTCAAGTCCTCAGGAGGAATTTCAGAGGAAATTATCTCAAGTAGGATTAGAATCAGTAAATAATGGTTTCCAGAAGAGGATTACTGTCAATTACACAGGGAGTTACTAGAGGCAGAACCCACCGGGTGCCTCTGGTATATTCTGGCAGAGATGTAATACAGGTAGAGATTTCGTAAGAAAACTACCTCTATTACATCTGAAGTACTCGCACCCACCTCCCCAATTCATCTACCTCTAGTAGTTGGGGAGATGGGTGGGAGTACTTCGGATGTAATAGAGGTATCTCTAGAAGTTAGATATGGGACCCCTGAAGATCCGGGGTAGAATAGGTCTGCAGCAACCAATGCTTGCCGTAAAAGGCGAATATGCTTGACGTAAGAGGCAACTAAGGGGATCGGGTGGTCAGGCTCGCTGACTTGGTTGATGCATGTCATCGATCCCAATTGCGTGGATCAATGCTCATGATATCAATCACTGGATTGTCTGGTCCAGACTCGATTATCTACAGACCGCCGTCATATAGCTGAAATATTGCTGAGTGCGGCGTTAAACAACAAACCAAACCAAACCAAGTTAGATATGGGAAAAAAGTGAGTTCCCACCATTGCATAAGTCATAGCTTGGGTGGTTATGATGCTACTTGGGAAAAACTAATTGTGTGTGATTGACAGTGATGAGAACGCCTGTTGAAAATCTGAAAATTTAAGATAGTGTGACTGAAGCCAAAATACAGGATTTATGACAGAGATGTAATAGAGGTAGTATTCTTAGAGTTATTAACAATGATATCGATTGTTCGATGTTCATTTGTTTTGCAATATTTTAAATTTTTACCTTGATTTCACCATTGCAATTCTTGCAAGATCCATTTCCTTGTTTTGTAAACATCACGTTCTCAGTAACCTCTACATATCCAGGTGAACTATAGTGCCATGTCCAGTTTTGGAGTAGATGTGACACATTTAGGGACCTACCATTTGATATTCTGGGTGGGGGCCTGGGATTATTTTTGTCGAGATTAGATATGTTTTCATCTGCTGCTGCAAAACCAAATATATATTTTTATTTCCAACTATGAGCCTCAATTTATAAAGAATTAAATATTTTGCAACAGTGTAATTTTTTTGGCAGGCAATTTCTTTATTTTTCATACATTCTGAAAAAGTTGGGTTTTAAAGCATTTGGGGCAATTTATTTTTTTCCAATAAAATCCCAGCCCCTCTCCAGAATATCAAGTGGTCAGTCCCTAATTAAAAATGGATATTGTGTGTGTTTTTTCTTACTCATTCCTTCTTTCAGTGTTTCTGACACAGATGGACCAATGTTTGGCAAGTATGTCATTTATTTGCCCTAGTCTGTAAGACTTGATCAATGCTTATTAATGTTACTACTAATGATGACACCTTGAGTTTTGCCACAGCAGCCATATTTATAAATCTTTTTCTGGCCATTATGTTCAAAATGTAATGAAATTTGGTATATGAAGTTGGAAAAGTAGATTTTAAGTGAACTTAATTATGTCAGGGCATGTTGTCTGGTGGTCCATCCAGTTGTCCATCCATTGTTTCACCAAAGTGGTAAATGTCCAGGACCTTCATCAATTTGGGCTTTCCTCCCAGTTAAGCTGACACGCTGTGATATAACTGGAATACTTTTAAAAGAGGCATTAAAACTGAAGAACAGTGATGCTGAAATGATCTTAGCTACCGGTAGCTATGGAATTATCATCAGATGTTCATGCAGAGAGGTATTGTATTGGAGTAAAGATCTGGTTTTAATGAGATTAGACATTTCAAACATGGCCCTCATGGCAATCATATTTAAAAACAAGATCGGCAAACTAATTCTTTACCTGAATTGAAGTTAGGTATATGTGCATTTCGTTGTGGGGCCCAACATAATGTTTCTTTTTCTTGTGTTATTGCAAATTTCCACCTTGCTTTCAACAACTCTACATAAGTGCAATAATTTTGAATGAGACGTTTGAGACCCCATTTCACTTCACTTTACCTTACTTGCAATTTTTACATGTCAGTTGCATAATATAGTTGGTGCCAGCAGTGAAAATGCTGTCATGGGTAATAAAAGTCAAAGGAGGTACAAAATTGCAAAATTAGAGAAATATTTGACAAGTATGTCAATCACATGTCAAGTCAAAGCCAGAACACTCACTCATTTATCCATCAGGCATGTGATAGACCTCTTAGACCTTGTGACCTGATCTTGTTCAAAGTGTTTTTTTATTTGAAACTTATGATTTTGGTTTTGATATTTTTCAAGGCATGTTTTTTGTCATGGCCAGCTTGTCAGACATCTGGTGATGTTTTCCCCTGACTGTGCTGAACCAATCAATGAAGCTGAAATTTCACATGCTTGTTCCCACCCAGTATTTTTTAAGGGCTCAAATCTCATTTTCCATGTGGCTGTTGTGGCTATTTATGGTCACAGCAGCCATATTAAAAAAAACTATAGATAGCCATCACTTTGCCATTCTTTTTCAAAATGGAATAAAATTTGGTAGATGTGTACCGTATATCTCTGTGTATAAGGCGACCCCACGTATAAGACAACCCCCCTGTACACGCCTTAAAAATCAACCCAAAAAGTAGTTAATAGTGGAGCTCAATACATATGTTTAGTTTTTTGGCGATATTTTATGTTTCACCCTGATTTGACTGGGTTGTTTTTTTTGCACTTTACCATGCTCCTATATTCTAGTAAAATTAATTTCTCCGCTTTTTATCGTATACAAATAAAAATACTGTGCGAAGGTTTATTTTTATTCAGCAGCTTTACAGAACTGTGAGTGAACAAAATACTGCCTAATATCTAAACGACATAAATGTATATCAAACAGATTTATATGCTTTTGTGAAACGTTATACATTCAATACAAAATATAGCCTGCAAGGACAAAATATTTCGAGGTGTTTTGTTCAAGGAACCAAACTATTCTAACACAAATTTCGATATTGAGACTATGTATGTTTAGGTATAAAAAATCCTGAAAGAAATTATGAAATATTAATTAGTATAAAAGGAAGTAATAGTGAAATGGATGGCCCTATCTAACCCATAAATTCATCTTTAGATTCCAACATTCTCCTGATTGTGCAAGTGTAATTGACTAATGTTGCACTATTATTGAACATTAGCCTTTTCATCAAATGTGTAATGAATTACTAAAGAAATTATGCCATTCTATTTGACGTCATGGCTGGTTTTATGTCTTTGACAACGTCGGAGAAAGACGACATTGGTATTTTGAATAATATATATCTCCCCTAATTTTCGTTCATGGTATGGAATATCTCGATGTGTAAAACAGAATTTGACACTTTTTTGACACAACATAAAATAACTGCTTTTACCATGTAAATACTGTCTTGAATAGACAAACAATTAGATAGTTTATCATGTATCTTAATTGGACAAGACACGGACCTGTTTGGCATCAATTTTACATAATCATAAAACCCTAAAGAATATTTGTTCATTATTATGTGATTATTTAGTTCCTTTTATATAAGGTTTGACCAATGGGGTACATGTCACATTTCATATAATTTATACTTTTTACAGTTCTTGGAGAAATAAAGTAAACAGTTTAATGTCACAATATGAACCCATTGATTATGTGATACAAAACGAGAGGAATGGTTCATAAATTGTTTGTGACTAGACAATTCCAAGACCAAGACAATTCTTCTGAATATGTATGCATTTATTTTAACGAAAAATATTATCCATTTTGTTGAAGTAATATCTTCAGTTTTAGTTTTAAAATAAACCTGTTTACATGAAATTACAATATTGACTATTACACTCCAAAGAAATATGTACATGTTGTAGTTACATTTTATCTTATAACTCCTGTCTAAAGGAAAGAAATATCGAATAGGACACTATAGACGTATCAATTTCTTATGTATAGAATGTTCAAACAAACATTTTCTGGCGCATAGATCTATGTACATCATATCTAACAATGCAAAATATCAATATCAAGAGCAGAACTTGATGGAATCTTTCCAACAATACACATTCGTTATAATCATCCATATTGTCATGAACTGAAACAGATTTTTCTATGCTTTGGACAGTGATAAGGCTGCATTATTGACTTCAGAGGCTTGCTATCACTGTATGTCTATCAAACGTATCCCTTTTCTGACACCAAATGTTCAAATTTTACTGCAGATGTTAATGATTGTTATGGACAGTTAGTCTTTGTGCTTCGAGAGACAGTTTCATCCTTCGTTCAGTCTTGTCACATACCTAGTGAAAAACATGAAGACTTAAGAAATGTTGACAGCATTCTCATGTTTACAGCAGACATGACAGTTGGGCTCAAACTGGTTGCGTTATCAGAGTTGATCCCGCTCCAGGATTTGCCAAAGCATGGTGTATGTTTGGAACTAGGCTCCTCCAAAACGTTACTAGAATCATGTGGCTGAAAAGGCCATTTAAGAGCTCAGCCTGGAGTGTCTTTATATGAACCCAGAGGGCCTCACTATTGCAACAGCAAACTTGCATTCAAGGATCAGAAAAGGTGGACTTTCTGCTTGAGAAGTGCTTCTCAAAGGGATCAAGCTGTGGGTGAAAATCTCCCGGTGATCGATAGACAACTCATTCTCAAGCAGTTACTTCATCAACAACTTAACCATTCCTCAAGCAGCAAATGAAAGATTCATGGCAGTCTTCTTATCGGCTCATGTGATGTATCTGTGGGTGATTTGGACTACTTAAAGGGACACTGATCTAAAGCAATTCTCCCGGACTGGTTGTTGCCTTTGTTATTGTTTTTTCCCTTGAGTACCCGGATGATATAGCAGAAACGTAGACTAGTTCGCGACCTGTTCTGCGCAATTCGTAAGCGCATTTGTCACTTTTATTGATAGTACATGTATAAGGGCGTATGGTCACATTGATCAACAAAATGAAATACCGTGTTGGAAATAATAAGGAAATGTAGCTACGAGTATCTTTGTGGGTAGCATCGGTAATGGTGACAAAGTTTTGATATGTCACTTGCTTGGTAATTGTGCGATTTTCGTTTTACACTATTTCGACTTGCAACACAAATTAGTAAAAAAGTCAATATTTCTCCTGAGCATTGCTTATTTTATCGTGTTTATATTTTTACAGTCAAAATGTGCAACATTTTCACTTAGGAAATTTATTAAACGCATGAATATTCAGTTATTTTACAAATTTACTGAAAAATATGTCCATCTGTATAATTATGACAACGAATTCCAAACATTTTTATGTTTAATATCATCACCAAGAGACTGAAAATGTTACGATGTAAAGTACATTTCTACATTGTTTTTTTTGTAGTCCTACATAATAATCTATTGTGATGTTTTTAGGCCCTTTTGATCGTCTTTTATCAATTTTAGTCAATCTGTTAAAGAAATGGACAGTTTTTCAGTCAAAATGACTGAAATATTTACACACTCCACTGGAGCCAGATTTATATACCTATACCACAACTACAGAGGGAATTGTTTATGAAAAATGACTGCGATTCAACGATAGTCATGAGATTAAGTTAAATTGACCACCACCTGGAGTCTATGATATAAATTTTTATAGGTAATAGGGGTTCAACGACTGGAGCTGGATTTATATACCTACTACAGGTGGCATTTTTTATGCCAAAATGATTATGCGATTCAACGATAGTCATGAGATTAAGTTAAACTGGCTCCAGCTCACCAATACCTGGGGCCAATCAATGTTGTCATTAGTTCAGATGAGCCTAAATGGTAATGAAAATATTCTTTATTATTTTTATCAATAAAGCGATATTCAACATTTTTATTAAGTTCTTCGTTCATTTTACTAGGAGACCAGACTATATAATTACACTCTTCTTGGAAATTGATAAGAAACAATTGATAACCGTGTTTGGTTGGTTTGACATCACTGATATAATAAAAACCTTGTGGTAATTCTCTCCATTTAATAGCTTTTTCGATTGTTGGGTTGTAATTCTCCATTATTATATATTTATGTAAGCATTTGTCTAAATGTGATCTAACAATAGTAAGCAATCTATTTTTAATCTCCAACCAGTTCTTTGGTTTTGGCACGGAATAATTGACGCTCTTGTTGCCTCCCCTGTTCTATGAACTTTTTTTTCTCGTCTTCGCTAATACCACTGGTCTTACGATATTTTGATCGAATTTCATGCTTCATTACGTTGTATTTGGTGAGTTCCGACAGCACTAAACGAAACTCCTCCTCGGATATCTTACAATCAGCCATTGCTGTCGAAATATGATCCTCAATGGTGTTCAACTTTGCTTCGGCGAGTATCCGAA